GCTATATGTAACACTCATTCTTGAAATGACTGTTTAGCACAACCATATACAACTGAAGCACTCCCTCTTTGTCAGGTACACAATAAAGAGATTCGATCATTACACATTCTCTAGTAGACTTATGTCACAACAGTTTGGAATGTTAAGTAAAATGAAACATGTTGAAATTAATGAAACAGTATATAGAAATATTCAAACACTGTTAAAAATTCTTACCAATTTATCTTTAAAGATTTATTTTTATTTTATGTACATGAATGTTTAGCCTGCATGCATGTAAGTGTACCACATGCATGTCTGAAGCTTGCAGAAGCCAGAAGAGGGCACTGGATCCCCTGGGACTGGAGTTAAGGATGGGTGTTAGTCACCATATAGGTTGGGAACTGAACTCAGGTCCTCTGGAAGAGCAGCACACACCCTTAACCATTGTGTAATCTCTCCAGCTCCTTAACATATCTTAATGATATGAGTTCTGTGGAGCTCATTTGTATATATAAATATATATACACATATAGTTAAAAATATATATAATACATATTTCTCCTAGAGCAGAACTACCTGTTAAGTAATTTTATTAGGACAACGTTGAAAGATTATGGCCTAAAATCCTAAAGAAAATAATGAAGGCAGGAATGACAGCACATATTTGTGATCTTAGTACTCAGGAGGTAGAGACAGCAATCAGGAGTTTAAGGCTATCATCAGCTACATGATAAATTTGAGGTTAGCCTGGGCTATGAGAGACCCTCAAAAAAGTTTTAAGAACTTAATAGGAAATAATTTTGTTACATTTCTCTTAAACCCATTTTACTTGATAACTCGCTTTTTAAAATCAGCAGGATTGAGAAAATGGTAGACAATACTCATGTGTAGTCCTCAGTCTTTGGGAAATAAACTGAGGAAATTTGGTTAACAGTTATCAGAATAGGTAAGCAACAATCAAATACTTCTAGCTTTAATGACAAATAAAGTAGTACACTTTACAAAGCAGGAAGGTCTAGAGTCCATCCTGGAGGAACTGGCTCTCAGAAGCAGACTCAGAACATGAGAGGGCCAGAAATGTGACAGTGTGAACTGCAGGGGTAATTATGAAGGGTGAGAGGTGATTGGGTTTGGACATGTGTGTCAATAGGAATTGCTTGATGTGTTGTGATGTATGAGGATGTCTCCCAGATGACTTTTCTGAGAAAATAGGTAAACTGAGTTGTCAATCAGTGAAATGAGGGCTACTGAGTCTGCTCAGCAGGTTTGCAGACTATTGGAGATACTTATCCGAGATTCAGTTGTGAGTTCAGAAGTGTAGACTGGAGACAAATTTAAGACAATACAGGGGATTACATCTCTAGTACTTGATGAAGTTACCTAAGGGGAACGTACAGATGAAGACTTAAGGCCTGAGCTTTTGAGTACTACAAGATGAAAACTTGTAACAAAGAGGATTTAATGTTCTTGATAGAAGATACATGTATAAAACATAAAAAGGTCAGTACAGCACTGACTATTGAAATAGAATATAACATACAATGTTAATTAAAACTGGAAGAATCCAGATTCAATTATTCTGATGCTTTGCCTGACTGGACTGGACAGTTCCAAAACAGGAGTCAGAAAGGTGGCCTTCTGTGTGTTGTGGGATGATGTGTTTCTATCACTGGGCCTCTTGGCACTGGGGCCTGGTCTCAGGTGTGGAGAAGCATGTGAAGACCCTCTTGATGGAGACAATTTGCCCTGTGATTTCAGCAAGACAGTCCTTGAAGCTGCCATGGAAGTTCATAGAGAGGTGTGGACTTGTGGATATTGGGATTCCTTATTTAAGGATCATTCTAAGTAAATTTTGGGTTGTACTCCCTTCTAACATATTCTTCCTATAGTCTTGATTAAAAAAAGACAGCCCTGGCCTTATACTGAGGTGGATTAAATAAATTAATACTGTGGAGTGTAGTAGATAAAAGACAAGACTCAGAATCCAGTCAAGGAGACAAATCCATACTCCACTATCTATTTAAAAATTCATTTAGAAGGCCAACTAACAAGTTCAGGTAACGTGTGTGTGTGTGTGTGTGTGTGTGTGTGTGTGTGTCCGTGTACGCATGCACACACACACTATTTGTAGAAGATACAGGCACAAAATGCAAAAAGGTCAGGCCAGAGCTGGATGGCTGAAGTAAAATACAATACACAACGTTAGTTAAAACTGAACCTGGGCTCCTCTATTCTGACACCTTATTAGAAACAGGAAGAACAAGAAACGGATTAAAGGGAAATAGTGGCTAATTATAAGTAGAACAGGAAAGAAATTTCTAAATGATTCTGAGATTTATGCTTGGGACTGTTGAATGAATTACCAGCAACCAAATGAGGGCCTAAAACAGTCAGTGTTTCAGTTCTTAGTGCCCTTAGAAAAAAAAAGAAGCCCCAGAGAAAACTCCTATCCCATCTATAGAGGGCTAAGGCAGGTAAGTGGTGTCTGTCAGGAAACAAGGCCTTATTAGACACCCAGCCTCCCTGCACCCTGGTCTTGGAGTTCCCAGTCTCCAAAGCAGTGAAAAAAAAAAAGCTCTATGGTTTGTAAACTACCTATTTTCCATATTTTGTTACAGCAGCCAAAGAGATGAAAACAGATGATGATTAGGTTTTCAACATGTTGGGAATTTGGCAGACAGGTTCAAGATGCTGACAAAAATGTAGCCTAGCTAAATAAAATCCTGAATGACACTGGCACACTTATTTAGGAAAAAACATGTATCCATTTTCTTCTATCACTTGAGACTGGTGAAAATTCCTTTTTTAGCACATTATTTCCCCCCCTGGGGAGTTAGAATTTGGTTTTTTGGATGTGCTTGAATATTTTTTAACTTTGTCGGTTTTTGCTTCCACCTGCAATTCTGTCTCCCTCCCATCTGACCATTTCTCTTAATATCCATCTTTAAAAATAATCACATTTATGTCTCAGGCAAAGTTTGTGGAAGCACAGGGATTCATACTAATTTCTGTTTTAGAGCTCTGAAACTCTACTGAATGTCATGGTAATTATGTACTCATGTGTACTAAAAGATCCTTTGAATCAGTTTCTTCAGAAGCCAGTCCTTGTATTAACCTGGATCTTCAACTTAGGAAATTTCAATAAACATGAATTTAAACAGGAGTAGAAACCTTACAAAAGTCAGGAGGAATATGTAACTTTCAGTATGTACTTTTAGTATTATGTTGTACATTATGAAAGAATACTACTACAAGCATTAGAAATTATGAGTTCTGGAATGCAACTTGAAAATGGAGCAAGGTCAATTCCTCAGAAGAGTTATTTGCAAAGAGAAAACTTACCTATTTCTTTAGAAGTTGCTCAAGATGTTTATTAATTAATCCGTCTTCTGATGGTTCCAATTTGGGAGGTTTGATATGGGGTCCAGGGATGGATATATTTACAACTACTCCTAGGTAATTCTCATTATGAGCCAAGTCTGGAAAATCATACTAAAAGCAGAGGTGCTCTGAGCCCCTAGTGTCTGAGTAAATTTTTCATGGTGTCTGGGGCTAAAAGAAATACTGCATTTATTAAAACAGGGCCAAACTTATTAGCTGTAGTTGCTAATATAGTCCAACAGATGTCAGTGTTTCCTTCAAAATTAAAATACCTCACAGAACCCCTAGAAACTTCCTAAGGCACCCCAGCAACAGTTTCTAAGCAGTTTCAAATCAAAGAGCATTTTCCTGGCACGGCATCTAAATAAAATATCTGAATAGGCTTTGTGCAGCAGAGTGGTGAGTGGGTTTCATGAATTTCATGTCTTTAATCATTTGTTGCTGTTTTTATATGGTTATTACTGCTTACAGAATAAGCATACTGAACATTTATCTGTAAGGAGGTAGAGGGCAAATGTTTTAAGCTTTGTGGGGGCACAGATGGTTTATATTGCATATTCTTTCTTTTCTGTTGCAGCTCTTTAAAACATGTGAAACATCCTAACCTCCTGAATTTGACCTATGGGCTGTAGTTTGCAACTCTGTTGTAGTTCAAAGCCTAGAGTAAAACACTGATGTGCTGTAGTTTGGTTCCAGTGATTTCTACAAGGCTGGAGTCAGTTTTTCAGATCTCATCTTTTTCTGCTTCTAGAAAGACTGAAAAAAAATGCAACTTGACAAAGAACGTTTCAAGGGCCTACTTAATTTCAGAGCTATTATCAACAGGTCTGTGGTAGAACTTTCTTGCTCTAAATTATTTAAGAATTTTTAAGTAATTTCAGTTTAATACAGAATTCCCAAGGAATTTAACATTTTCTCACTTTTTGGGCTAATTTACTATAAATGGCTAATGAAATTCTGTATTTATAACAGAACAATCTTTAGCTTATACTAACTACATTCAATAACTTGATAGAATATGCCATTTGAGATTTCTAGCTCTATTTCTTCCAAAATTAACGATGCTGTCTTAAAACTATCCATTGTGTTTATTTCTGAGGTTTTACGTCAGCTTTTGAGACAGGATCTCTCTGTTGTCCTGGCTGGTCTGGAACTCACTCTCTAGACCAGGCTGGCTTCAAACTCAGAGATCTGCCTGCCTTGGCCTCCCAGGTGCTGGGATTAAAGGTATCACCACATCTGACTCATTTTTTACATTTTTTTATTTTTTTAAACCAACATAACAAATTCAAACCTTTCTATGCTACTCATAAAAGAAATATCACTGGCAATGTGGTCTTGAGAAAACCAAAAAACTTCTTGGGGAAACTACAATCTATATTTTAAAAATTGTATTTAAAGGTGCACCATTACAGTCTTCCAAATTAAAATACCCTAGGGGCTATATCAAAACCTGTTTGTTCAAGGCAGGCGTGGTGGTGCACGCCTTTAATCCCAGCCTGGCCTACTAGTTTCAGTGCAGCGGTGGCTACCGGGACACACTAACAACAAACAAAAAACAAAGAACCACCAAGAAACCCACGCACAAAAAACAAAACACATGTTCCTTGAAGCTTTTCTAAAACTTTAATGCCCTTTTCATTAAATTGATCGCTGGTCACATATCGTAACTGATTCATGAATGGAAAAAAGACAATTTTGCTTTCTATCATTAAACACACTGAATAGTGACTACTAGTTCAATAAACTGCCACGAATTTGTGGAATTAGGACACAAATTCAGTGAGAACCACCCCACTGAAAACATTATGGTTTTAGGTCTAGTAGTGGTCCAGCTTCATCATTAGTTTTTGTTGGGCCAGCAGAAACATTTACATTTCAGAGCGATTTCCTAGGCTGTAGATTGGGTACTTGTAGCAGTCCCTGCCTACCGGGTGGCAGTAGGACTCCGGTGGGAGGGAGCGTTCGTTTGGCTGGCAAAAGGCCGGCCGTTACCCTACGGGCCAGCCCGAGCTGCTGTGGGCGGCTACAGAGGCTCCTCCGCGTCACCCCGTTACATAAGGGGCCAGCCCGTCCGGTGTCCTGGGCCAGCTCCGACCCGCCGTCTCCAGGAGGCCGCCCTCGGGTGACTGGAGAGGCGGCGCTGTCTGCCCGCTGACACCCAGCAGCGGCCAAAGACCACGGAGACCAAAGAGCAAGGAGACCGAAGCCCCGCCCGCAGCCCGCGCCGGGCGGTTCGAGCGTGACCTTGTTTGGGCGTTGCTAGGAGACGCGGCTCCCGCGCGCCCCCGACTGGCCCACGCTGCGCGAGGGGCGGGGCCGCGGCCGGGTGGCTGAGCTGCAGAACACCGTTAGCAGGTCTGCCGCGCGGTGTCCGCGGCCCGGCCGCCGTCAGGCCACGCCGTTGTCGGGGTACGGCCTTCCCGGCGGCTGAGAACGGCGGAGGCGACAGAGGGCGGCCGTCAGGTGAGCGGGTTCAGGGAGCGCGGCGGCGGCTACGCCCTGGAGGGGAAGACCGCCGGGGACGCGGGTCTGGCGGTAGTGGCTGAGGAACCGGCGCGGCCGGATTGAGGCGCGGGCGGCGGCTTCGAGCCCCGGATGTGAAGCCGCCGTTGCTGCAGGTGCATGGGGTTGGGGCGGTGGACCTGCGCCTCCCCTGCGGGCCGCCCGCCTCCCTCCCGGAGCGCCCCGCTTCCAACAGGTGGTGCCGGTGCCCCGGGAGCCAGCAGTGCGCGGCCGCCCTGGGAGCGGCGGGCACCCTCGCCCTTTAGGGCGCCGTGGCGGGAGTGGCTTGGCCGCCGAGAGCGGTGACCAATGGGATCGGGGAGCCTGGGTGGGCCGTGAGATGGGCGTGGCCAGAGGCGTAGGCCAGGGTTTCCAGTGCTGCCGCGGCCAGAGCTGCGCCGGGACCTGGGCTGGGAGGATAGGGCCGCGTTCGCCTGCCAATGCTTCCTCATCGGAGTCCGCGCTCCATCCGGCAAGGTGAGAGCGTTTGTGCTGGGGAGGGCCCGGGAGCGCTGTTCTTGGGTGTGCGGTGAAGCATGCGGGCTTCGATTTTCCAGCCTTGTACGAATTTTCTACCAAGAAAAGGCACCCAGTTACGGTGACTTGGACCAGATACTAGTGACTCGGTTGTCTTTAGAATGAGCTTTTGGGGTTCGAGTGGAGGAAAGTACATATTACATATTACCGCAATTAAAGTGAATCCAAGCCTTTCGGTGACAACTATTCCACTGCTTGTTTTGGATTGCGCATTTCAGGGCACATCGGGTGTGTTTACTTAAAGCAAGTTTTGTTAAGTTCCTCATATTGCTTATTTTTAGTAAAAATAGAGAAATGCCATTTTAAGTACTGTTTCACAGTAATAACTTATTCATTTCCTCCTCAGCAGTCTTGTAGCTTGATCACCCAAGAAGAGAAATTCTAAAAGCAGTTTACAAGAAACGTTTGAACTGGGGACACCATTTGCAGCTGGAAATGGGGAATGGACTGTCAGACCAGACTTCCATCCTGTCCAGCCTGCCGTCCTTTCAGTCCTTTCACATTGTTATTCTGGGATTGGACTGCGCAGGAAAGACAACTGTCTTATACAGGTTGCAGTTCAATGAATTTGTAAATACCGTACCTACCAAAGGATTTAACACAGAGAAAATTAAGGTAACCTTGGGCAACTCCAAAACAGTCACTTTTCACTTCTGGGATGTAGGTGGTCAAGAGAAACTAAGGCCACTGTGGAAGTCGTACACCAGATGCACAGATGGCATTGTCTTCGTGGTGGACTCTGTTGATGTCGAGAGGATGGAGGAAGCCAAAACTGAACTTCATAAAATAACTAGGATATCAGAAAATCAGGGAGTCCCGGTGCTTATAGTTGCTAACAAACAGGACCTGAGGAACTCACTGTCTCTCTCAGAAATTGAGAAATTGTTAGCAATGGGTGAACTGAGCTCGTCCACGCCTTGGCATTTGCAGCCCACCTGTGCAATCATAGGAGATGGACTAAAAGAAGGACTTGAGAAACTACATGATATGATAATTAAAAGAAGAAAAATGTTGCGGCAACAGAAAAAGAAGAGATGAGAGCAGTACTGTTCATGTCAGTGTGGAGTAGGTTTGCCCTGGTCTGATTTTGACAAGCGGAAGAGTGTCTACAGCCTGGTTTGCCTGTTTGCCCTCCTGGATGCCCAAAACAGTCACTTTTCACTTCTGGGATGTAGGTGGTCAAGAGAAACTAAGGCCACTGTGGAAGTCGTACACCAGATGCACAGATGGCATTGTCTTCGTGGTGGACTCTGTTGATGTCGAGAGGATGGAGGAAGCCAAAACTGAACTTCATAAAATAACTAGGATATCAGAAAATCAGGGAGTCCCGGTGCTTATAGTTGCTAACAAACAGGACCTGAGGAACTCACTGTCTCTCTCAGAAATTGAGAAATTGTTAGCAATGGGTGAACTGAGCTCGTCCACGCCTTGGCATTTGCAGCCCACCTGTGCAATCATAGGAGATGGACTAAAAGAAGGACTTGAGAAACTACATGATATGATAATTAAAAGAAGAAAAATGTTGCGGCAACAGAAAAAGAAGAGATGAGAGCAGTACTGTTCATGTCAGTGTGGAGTAGGTTTGCCCTGGTCTGATTTTGACAAGCGGAAGAGTGTCTACAGCCTGGTTTGCTTGTCTGCCCTCCTGGATGCTATTAAAGCTTTGTTTTGTTGAACAGTCAGATGCCCAACTCTGTTGCCTTGTGGAAGATGAGTACATGCAATGCTTCTTAAAGTGGTCTCCCTAACCCACAGATCTTTTGGTACTTCCATTTTGAGAAGCCAAGAAAGGATAGTAATTGACCAGAAAACAGTTTTGTGGAAATTTGATCTGAAGTTAGTGAAATAAAACTTTTGAAGAGTGTGTGCCTAGTATTTTGTGCTTATATCTTTTGGGGGGAAGCCTTTGCAAAGAAATTGCAAACAAGGCTTTCTATGTTAACATAAAATGCTAATGAATGGAAATGTTAAGGTAGATTAATATGTATATTAATCACACAGTGTTAAATTTATCACAACTGGGACAAGGAAGAAGTGTTTGCCTTTTTCTTTTTTTAGGTTTTTAGCCAGATGATTTTTGACATTTTCCAGAATCAATTCAATGCTATCTCTTAATTCTAGACAATGTTTAGTTAAGTTGGTCTAACTTTAGTAAAAATAAGACATCGGGTATATTCAAGTGCATGGGTTAGTTTTCTTGACAAGCATGTTTTGATGTGTAGTCTTTTTAGAAATAGCTATGCATCTTTCTGCACAAGTTTAAATCAACTTTTTGGGAACTTAGGGCTATGATAGAAATAGTTCATTTTCAGAAGCACTGTCACTTGAAGAAGCTGAAAATTACTTGACGTAGGTAATAAATATGGGCACATTGACTTAAATGCATATACTTGGATATATATATATATATGGATTTATGGAGGAAGTGACAGTGAATTCAACCAAGAGTGTTATAATAAATGATCTTTTAAATATCCTAGTTAAATGATACTTGTTTTATTAATAACTGGCTGAAAACAGATGGGGTTTTTCATATATTTTTGTAGCATTTTGGGAGGAATGAAAGCTTTATAAAACAACACCTGATGCACCGTGGAATGAAAATCTATGTGTTCTGAGCTTTAATTTTTTGTTGTTGTTTACCAACTGAAAGGTATTGCCAGAGCTGTCTATCCCTGATTGTAGGAAGCAGTGGTACAGTACTGTAGAAAGGATTAGGAGCTTAGACTATGCAGGGGAAAGTAGCAAGGCTGTGTCATGAAAGTTAGCTGGTGCTGTTTCTATTATAATTAAATTACATGGAGGGAAGACATTTAATTCGTTATCTCCAGGAAGAGACTTATTTCTAGTAATCATATATTAGTAAATCAGCATACTTCCTGTGTATGAAGCCAAAAGTTGTTTGTTCCTAAATCACAAAAAGAAATGTACTTTGCTAGCAGGGCTTGTTTTTGAGGCTTTTGTGGTGGTTCCCCCCGCAGTGGCACAACTGAATTTTTGGAACTGTTTCTTTGATTCTTGTTCTACACAAAATGAAGAAGGTTCCTGTGGTGCTTTCATGTCAAAAGTACCTGCACTGGCGATAGTCTCTCAGAATGTTTGTACGACTGGGGACATTGATTACCAATGAACTACTTGAGGCATTAGGAGAACAGTGTTTGAGTTTATTTGTATTTCCACTTCTGCAGCTTTTAATTAAATGTGTACAAATAACAATAACTTACCAGCTGGGCTATTTGATTCTATAGTAGTTTAGATTTTTTTTTTTTTTTTTAGTGAGGTTTCCATAGAAGGGAGCCATGATGGGATAATAAAACTTGTCTTCCTCAAATCTAAATCACTTTAGATTTTTCACTCTGCCTCCCCCTCAGCCCCCATACTTTGCTATATAAAGTAGTGCCATGTAAACTATCTGCATATTGACCCTTATTTTGTAACCCTATAATTGTATCCGCAAATCCGTGCTGTCCAAGTTTTTCAGATTTAATGAACAGCAAAATGAACAATGCATAAGCTTTGATTTTGATAAATAAACTATTTTCAACTATCAAATTAAAAATTTCCAGTTTGGTAAGTTTAAATTCTCCGTGACCTAGTATAGCTATTAATAACACAGGTTAATCTCAAATCAGAAAGTGTTTAGGCAATGCTTTGGATTAGGTTTTTGTCTTGTTTTGTTTTTAACTTAAGATACCCTTTTCCAAAGCACATTTGTCTTATTGCAGGGTCAGGGATAAACCCAGGATCCCATGTGTATGTGAGGCAAGCACTCTACCACTGAGCTACTTCCCCAGAACTAAAGCAGATTTCTGAAATAATTGTTTTTGAAATGTCTTGGTTTCATACAAAATATTGATTGGGTTAAACGTTTTAAATTCAAATTACTACTACTGAAGAACATAGTTTGAAAATACCCTTTGATAATTTAGAGACTTCAATATCCAAAACTATGCTAAAATAGATTATAGATGTTACAGTTTAGCTAGGGAAGATTCAGTAATAATCACAGTAAAATGAGTTAACTCCTTACTGGAGGACAAGAAGGACAGTGTTAGTATTATGTATATAGAAAGTGAATTGCTAGTCTTGGATGAAAGATGGCTTAACAACAGGATGAAGGGCAGAGATTTAGAGTGTTTTTTTAGGAGTTGGGAACATAGGGTATGGTAGATGCTTACCTATCATGTACAAAGCTCTGAGTTCAATTCCTGAAAAAAAAAAAAAAAAAAACACTTAGAGGAGTGGGCTTTTTTTTTTTCTGTGTAAGGCATTTGTTATTAAAAGAGTTTGATTATTCATCATGACCTTGAAGGAAAAAGTCTCATCATTAATACAAACAATCATCTGCAGTTTCTTTATAGATGGTTAAAAACAAAAACAAAAACAAAACAAAACACCTGAGCATTTAATTAATAAAACTTGAAATCTTGGTTAAATTATCATTTGAGGTTCAATTTTTTATTGTTGGCTTTCTGAGATAAGGTCTCGCTCTACACCCAGGCTCCCTCAGCCCCTTGAGTGCTGGGATACAAGCAAAGCATACACCACCACATTTGGCTCTAAGGTTTAAATTTTGCAGACCATTCTGGAAATGGATAGTAGTGAAGTGGAATACTTGGAGTTTTTAAATGAAGCCTTTCATATGAGCAAATATAAGATACCAAATCAGTACCATAAAATTAATATTAAAATACTTGAAGGTCAAAGATAATGTTCTCAACACATCATAGCCAGAATATGCTTCCAATTCTGTGCAAGTTAAAAATACAGGAATACATGGTAAGTTAAATTTGGGGAATAATAATTATACTAGCTAAAAACAATGTGGGGCTTAGAGTCTGATTAGTTTCAAATCCTGCCTCTCTTATACATGTGGCCCTTTTAGTAAGTTCTTTGAAACTTGTCAGTGCTCTTGTGGCAAAATGAAGACACACAGAAACTTGAGAGATTGAATGAAATCATGTGCATTAAACTGTTTAGTACATTACTGAGCATTTTACCAAAAGTAATTGGTACTGTTCTTACTAATGAGTAGGAATCAGTGTTTGGAGATGCAGTGTGGTATTGTTGATAATGGCCCCACAAGACTATGCTTGAATATGGAACCTACTTTGTTCATCATGGTCACTTTACTATCTGTGTCTTAGTTCTTTATTTGTAAGTTGAAGATCTTATCTGTCAGGGTTTCATTGAATAAAAAGATCAGATGCATTTGTAGTTAGTAGAGGACTTGGCACACATAAGCATTTGGTAGATAGTTCTTAGTGCCTCCCCCCAGAATATTTCTGGCAAATGTGTTTGAAGAAAAAGAACTTGGGGGAGGGATATGACAGAAAAGCTTGCAGTATGTTTTTCTTCGGATTGGTGAACCACAGCACAAAGGGTAGCCTAGTTTCCTAGTTTAGAAAATCTAAACATTCTCAACTCCCTTGGAATCTAGGTATTTCTTAGACCTCCAAAGCACCAATCTATTTTAGCACAGTATGTCTTAATGTTCCCTAAGAAACAAATGTTAAAAGGTTGATTATGTTATGGTGGGCTCATAAAATAGACTACTTCACTTTATACAGAAATTAGAAGTCTGAAGTGGTGAGTTTCCTCAAGATTATCAATAATTCACAATTTAATGACAAGAGGTCTCTGTATATCCTGCGTAAACTTGGCAGTATTCGTGGGCATGCCTAGCAGATGATGGTGCATGTTTGTGTGTGATAGTTATGTGTGCTGTTACTTTCAAAATTACCTTCAGTTAGGCTCCACCCCCCGCTTTTTTTTGGTCTGTACTGGAAGTTGAACCCAGGGCCTTGTGCATGCTAGAAAAGTGCTCTAGCACTGAGCTGTATCCCTAGCCCTTCTGGCCTTGTTTTTGAATCTGTTTTATATTTCTTCAGCTGGAGTTGAGATCACCCATACCGGGCGAGAGGATTTTATAACAAATTTGGGTAGAAAATCCTTAGCCCAAGTAAGCCCTACTTTCTTTCTTGGGCATGCTTTATCTTTATCCCAGTTCTAAAATAGGGAAAAATTAAAGCATTGCTGAAGGTGGGAGCCATGGCTCAGCAGTTAAGAGCACATGCTGTTTCTGCAGAAGACCTGAGTTCGATTCTCAGCATCTGCATTGGGTGGCTTGAAACCT